GTTATTGTTTGTATGTGTTTGTTGTAAAAAATAAAAAAAATATATTAAAAAAAAAAAAAAAGAACTTGGTTTATGCAGAACACGGAAACAAGGAGGTAGAACAGATTATCCCACTACAGAATACAGGGGTAACATATTTAATATTTCATGTAAAATGTAATCACAACAAGCTCTTTGCCAGTGAAAGACAGTACACATCAGAGAGAAAGGTCTGACCCTAGCCCAGGAATGAGGAATCTGTGACCCACCAGATGCTGTTGAACCTGAATTCCTAACATCATTCACAGTGGTAATACCACTGCTGGCTGGTATTATCAATTCTAGCACTCAGCAACATTTGGCAGATCAGAGGCTCCCTGCTGCTGGCCAAGCCTACTGTACAGCTTTCTGTTTATATGAAACTGTTAAAAAATGCAATTATCACCTGAATTGCAACATTTCCTCCTATTGTGTCTTTAACACCAGGCTAGAGGCTTAGACCACAAAGCAGCATAGTACTTCAATCAAAACCCAAAGGGAAACTGTGATTTTTGCTGAAGATCACCTTTGGCATACCTTTTCCATGACAAGACGAGCAAGCTTTATTGGGTTAGAAATACATTTCACAGCTGATACTGCTCCTGAGGCTAGTTTTTTTCCATCCATGATAATGGCATCCATTTCTACTTCACCCTTCTCATTTAACACAGAGCCATAACCTAGGAATCAAATTTAAAAGATATTAATATCCAAACATAAAACCAAACAATTTTTAAACTATTTTAATTAATTTGTATTTCAATATTTTTTAAATGACAGCTTTTGCAATAACAAAATCCTTGCAGGAATAATTAGTGCTAATCCTAATAGTATATATAAAAGTTCTATACATTTTCTGCTCATGTTATATCTCATCACTGACATACCAGAAAATCTATTGCAAAGATGATATAAAATTTAAAAAAACAATTGAGGAATTTGGAATGATCTGCTTTGTCAATAGTATAACAGGCAGTAACACTAATAAAAGTAGTACTAATAGAAAACTGTACTTGTATATCTGTAACCAGAACTTCACTCCCATTAGTGTTTTGCATCTTTAAATTCAAAGCTCCAAATGCCAAACATACTTGGGAAATCCTGAAGGATAGAAATTTGCTGAAGTACTGTGGATTTTCAAGCATACATTTGATTAGATATTGAAAATATCTTTTGTATAAATTTATTTGAGAACTAATTGGAGGATGGTCACCCTGAACAACATTCAGCCTTGCAAGAAGTTAGCAGGCAAGGAAATGAAGGGATAGGAAAGAAAATCTCACCTTTTTAATTCATACAATTGAGGACATAGTTTTTAAGGACATACAAGAATGGAATAAAAGAAAGAAAAAAGTTGGTTGCTACAAAGAACTGGATAGTGAGAATTTCAGTCTGGAAAATTAGAAAGATTACAGCAGTTACCTGCATTAAAATGTGGATCATCTTCCATTAATACCACGGCTTCTTCAACTGCATCTAATGCAGTTCCTCCTTGCTTAAGGATACCGTAACCTTTCAATGCTGCTTTGATGACACCAGAACGACTTCCATCTTCCCGTTCTTTAAAGATGCGACCAGCTCCACCATGAACAACAATAACAGGCTTCATGTTGTTGAATGTTTTTCTGGTTAAAAGAATGTAATTACTCCTCAGAGCTACTCATTATAAAAAAGTTTAAACTAGAATATGTTACTATATTTCTTCAATGTCAGCTGTCAAAATATTATGAGATATTGCCTATGATTCTTTTAAAAGGGATTGTATTCTTCACTGGATATCTCCTGATCCTGAAATCAGAGTTAAACTATTCTAACATTTCAGAAGAGAATGCAAGAAATCTATTTCAATAGATTTTCTTAGGGAGTGAGGGTCAAAGTTCAATCTTACTGCTCTTGAGTTCCAATTAACTTCCTTAGTTAATAATCACAGTGTAAGATTTTTTATAACACCATTTTCCAATAATCCAAGCAGCTCACTGCCTTCATTCCTCAAGCCAGATTTTTTTTTCAATTAAGGCTCTCCCCTAAATCACATACCTTTAAAGGTATGTGATTTAAATACTTAAATTTAGTAAGAGTAATGTTTATTATGGCTGGAAGAGCAAAATAGCTAATTAAATCTGCTTGCATGCCACTGAAACCCTGATTCTGAAATGCAAGGGGAAACAATTTTATCATTATTTTTAGAAAATATACATAAGTATTCAGGTTGTTTATGCTTCAAAAATGATTCAGAAGAAGCACTTCAGTCCTTGCAGGAATGCCTGGAAAAACAAGTGGCTGGTTTAATTAGTAGCTTAGAGGTGCTATGCTCATGCAAAGTCTGAAGTGCACCTTTGGCAACTTTTTTGAAGCATGTACAAACTGTGTATATTTTTGAAGCAACCATAACCCTAAAAACGATTGTAGTGGATACTGATATTTTTAAAAAACTACATTCTGTTGAGGTTTTTTTTCAGTGAGACTAAAGGCTTTTAATTAATTATTCTAACAAACTAATTCATCAGTATCCCAATTACTATTCATATTAAAAGCATAAAAGCATGATGTGGACTCCACCATATCTTTGTGTTTTATTATGTCAAAGATCTATGGATAATCAGTATGCCTCTTTACAAGCTGAACTAAGCCATACTATAGTCTGCAACTTAGTATTCTGTGTGAACCCACTACTATGATTTAGTATTACAAATGATCCATGATACTATGGCTTATATTGAACTATGATTTCAAAATCCTGGTTTAGCACCATGTGTGAAGTTAGCCAATACCTGACTTTTGATCTGAATTTATAAAATTCAAATAGCATGAGAAATCCCACTTCACCTCTGTAGATCTACATTAATTAGTGAAAAAAATGTGATAAATAATACATCTGTGGCAGTGTTTCTCAACCTTGGCAACTTCAGTTGAAGTCCACATATCTGAAAGTTGCCAAGGTTGACAAACGCTGCTCTAGGGCATATGCCCTATCTTCTAGATTAGAAAGTTGTTTTCAGCAGTATGGCTTCCATCAATGCAATTGATCTTATCTGTCCATCTTTTGTTGAAAATTCTAAGTGAACGTCTTTACAAAACATCTTTACATCTACATGGACACAGAGTTAGAATGACAGACTCATAACTGGAAGCCTTCTTGTGCCAAATTGTGACACAGGACAGAATCTGAAGAATACAGATTAGAATCATCATTAGGAAGATCTCCATTTGAGATGGGATGAGACATATACAGATTATTTTTTAAAGATCTTTTTTAAAGATAATTCCTATTTTGAACTGCTAACTCTCACGAGAAAGCAAAGGGCAACCGTGTCTTACTCTGTTTGCAGTTTAAACCAATCAAATATTTATCTCACATTTCTTTAATCTTTCAGACTTGCTTTTTTGGCATTTGCTTAGGAAACCCTGCAAACTAACATACTTTTTAATGCTAGTTGTGTTATTTAGTACTGTCTGCAAAGCATATGTTACTCTGCTGTTGTTTAGAAGAGCTGTGAAAACCTGGTTTTTCGCCCAGGGCTTTCGCTTCATTGCGCTTGCCATCTTTTATCTTTATTTTTCATGTTTTATTGATTTTATTGTAATTTCTTTGATCACTGTAAGCCACCCAGAGCCATTGAGAATCAGGCAGCATGCATAATAAATACTTCTAGTGAGCTACCTGTTTTTTTGTGCATCAGCTGACCAGTAAGTTGTCCAGACAAATCATGTTACTAAGGACCCCATATAATTTTACCTTGGAATGAAGAACTGCTCCCAGCAGAATTTTGCCAATGGAAATGGATGTTAGAACTGACAGCCAACATCTGCTGAGCAATTCATAATATCCAACAGCTTTATCAAACCTGTGTCGCATACAAAATCATATGCTATCAAGGCAGGGAGCACAAGCACATCACTGATGATTAGGTAACTTGCAAGTAAAATGCAGAAACCCATCCCAAATAAGTTTGCTAAAGGACAAAACCAACTTGGTCGGAGAACTTCACAGATGCTACAAGATCTAGAGTACTGCTTGTCCCCCAAGCATTAAGCAGTGCAGGCGGGAGCTAGAAAAATGGGAAGGCATATCCCGGAGGCAGATGTGAAGCCTCATTTCTAAGATTCCTCCCGCTTCCCCAGATTTGGGTAACTATTCGGGATGTCTCCATTATGAGCCCCGATCGGCCAGGAACCAATACTTGTCGATACGACCCTCATTTAACCAGCCTGCGAAAGGCGACAAAAAAGCAGCGTTAGAAGAGGGTACGATAACGAAAAGGTGGCGGGTGGGGACCGCTCTCGTCCATTCAGTTGCTCAGTCACTGCCTTGGTAAAAGCCAGGTTTACTCACAGGTAGCTTGCTTTTTTCAGCTGCCCCCAATGCCCTCCAACTGAAACGCTTTTAAAAGAGAGTGGGAAATGGGCAGCGAGGAAGCAAGGCTGCCAAGGGCTGGCTCCTCTGACAGGACATCGGTTTCGAGAGCAAGAGGAAAGCTTACACCGGGCAGCTCCTATCGCGTACTTTTGCCCTTAAGAAAACGGCCGCCTTCTGAGCTTTCAACGCATGTGAAGCAAAGCTGCCCTCAACCCCAATGGCCGCTGCTCCCTTCCAGTCGATTAGGGCATCCGCCCCTCGCTAAAATGGCTGACTGAACTCATTGTTTTAACGGGACTGACGCAAAACGGCTGCCCGTTGCAAAGATGGAGGACGCTTGGAATCGCTGCCGCAAAGATGGAGGTTGCTTAATATCGCTGCGCAGGGAGGCGCCTTTTGCGCCGGCACGCGGTTTCCTTGTCCCGAGCGTGCTGAAAGAGCGGGAGCGAAGGTGCGCGAGCGCGGAGAAGGGGGCTGGGAAGGCGAGGAGAAGGAAACCACCGCGCGCAGCTAAGAATAACTTAACAGAAGTAACATCATTGGTAACCGGAGGGATTTTCAAAGCAGATATGTCAAAGATCCGCAAACTCCGTTTTGATCGGGTTTCGGAGAACTGCCCCTCCCACCGGTTTTGGCAACAAATGTTCTATTATTTTAAAATAAATCATTGGTGTTTGTCTTTCCCATATTTTAATATTTTTGTTTGTTTTTGTTTTAGAAGGGTTGGCAGTCCATAATTTAAAGGAACATGTTTATTTTTCTACCTATCGAATTTGAATGCCACCCGACTCCCAATGACTTCAGCCCTGGAGCATGAATTAACACAATAATATTTGGTAAATTGACATCCCACATTTATTTTTGTACGACCCAGGAACCATGCATAATTGTTCCTGCCTCCTATTTTCCTCACCACAACAACCCTGGGAGGTGGGCTGGACTGAGAGAGAGGGGCTGGCCCAAAGTCACCCAGCGACTTTCTTGCCCGAAGGAGGCCCGGAATTCACAGTCTCCTGGCTTCTAGGCCAGCACCTCCACCACTACACCAAACTGGTTCCATACAAATGTGACTGTAATCCTACTGCTTGTACTATATATTATTCACACAACATCCTCAGCAAACCATGGATTATTAAATAATCAGCTAAGTTTATTAAATATATAACCAGGATTTTACAAACCATAATGGCTGCACTCATACAACCTGCTCAGCCAAATAAGCAGACCACAATTGGGCCCAGAAGTTGGATTGAAACCCAGCCTAAATTGAAAAGAAAGTAACTTACTCCTGTGCAGGGTTGAACAATTTTGTTGAAAAGCAATGTTTCCTTCCGTATGCAGTTATATTTTTCACTTCTCTAATGCACTTTTTTAGGGACACCATCATCTGGGCAGCAAAAATCCAGGCAACCACTACATTAGTTGCAAGGAGTATTCTGGGTGTTTTGCTGTTGCCATCTAGTGGTCATCAGCATTTTTGCACCCCAGATACTTTAGCCCCAATGTGATAGCCCAGTAGAAAGTATTCCTTATTTCAGCAAAAATGATTAAATATGTGTGAGGCAGACACCACTGTGTCATTGAGATGTGGAGCTGATTCAATTTCCCTTCCCGAGGTGCTTTGTACTGTATCTGAGTTGTCCTCCAATAGGTCCAGGAGCCAGAAGAGGCTTCTTGCACATGGGCTGGAACCATGTAGAAGCCTCTATCAGCCCCTCTAGCATTTGACTGGAAGAGGACTCAGAAAGCAACAGGGCTGCTTAACTTCACTTAAAGAAGTGGGAGGATTAAATTAGCTTTTTGAAGCTTTATTGAAATCTTTATTGAACTGAACCACCTTTCAAAGCTTTGCAAATATTCGAAAACTTATTTGAAGTATGTTGAGCTAAAACTCTTGAAACTCAGTCCATGAGGATTGAGGTGGTAGCTAAATTGGATGGATGGATGGATGGATGGATGGATGGATGGATGGATGGATGGATGGATGGATGGAGTTGCAAAATAGTCAAAGTATTGTCTAAACCTAAAGTGGCCATTATTTGGGGTTTACCAACACCGGAATTTGACACTTTTGGCAAGCCTTGATTTCAAATTCCAATTTCTATAAACACAAATATAGTCACTCCAGGTTACAGTTACACAGTAATTCCAAGATGAATGCCACATGCCAAAGTACACATTTGTTAACTAGACTTTTTGGCTTACTATGTTGTACAGAGTCATAGATAATTGGTAGAAGAATTTATAGTAGAGGAATTCTCTAGAATGACACATCTTTTACAGTATTTTCTTTATAAGAAACAACAATGCAAAATGTCATCCTGTTGAGTTTTTTGGGGGGGGGGAGGGGGGAATTCCCTGCAATACCGACATGTAAAACACTACTAATACAACTACTATGGATTTCTTCTGGCTTGGACTCTTTATAGAAAGCTGGTTTGGAATAGGAATTGATGCAGATGCTTATCTAGTTACAGTGTTTCACCTTGCTTAACTCTTCAAGATTTCTTGAAGAGAGAGTCTCCATTAGGAACTAATTCTCCTGTCATTAGACATACATAGCACCTGTATTTTATGTCTTCAAATGTACCTATCGAGCTGCTTTGGATGATAGAGTTTCAAACATCTAAACTACTTGTTTTCCCCAGTATAGTGTCTCCAGTCGGGCTGAACTTCATCTCCCATAAGCCTTCAACTAACATGGCAGTTCCATGCTATCTGACAGCAATTATGGGAAATCCAAATCTAGCACATAGGGAGAATCCTATTTTAGATACGGAAGGCAGTGTTTGTAGAACCCTTCAAATATACATACTTAAATTTCATCTTTTCATAATACATTTGATATGCATTTTTAATATAAATATCCCCACAAAAATCATTAATTATGTTGCTCTTCTGAGCCTGAAATCATAGTATCCTAGTGGAATCAAACAGAATCAAAAGTACTGTATAATATGGAGACCTATAATAAAAAAGAACTGTCTTCCCTGACATTTATGCTTCCTAGAGTACCCCAGTTATTAAAATGTCATTGAACACAAAGTTTTCAAGTCCAATATTTCTTTCCAGGAGGAACATTTGTCAGTACCATTTACATTATATCACAGTGTTAAATTATATTAGTATTCATAGTTGATTTCTGTTAGTACAGAATTGTACATGAACATAAGAGAAAATGCATGCAAGTTGTAATTAGTTTATAATATCTTGAACTATAGCTATGGTGGTATTTCATATTCAGTATTGAATATTCCCAGAAGCTAATTTTCTGTTTATACTAGAAGAAATTTAGCCATTGGTACAATACATCATATATATCAGCTGATATTGAAGTTCATAAGAAGAACTGTGCTGGTCTAACTAGATGACTACCAAATTCAACATTTCATTCCCTGTAGTAGTAAATCAGGTGACTACAAGAATCCCTTGAGCAATACACACATGCAGTAGTACCTTCCTATTCATGTTACCCAACAACTCATAGCTGACATTTACAACACTTCTTATGCTGGAGGAAACAGCAATCATGTCTAGTCTACCATTATGTTCCAAGTTAGGTGGCCAACCCTCCAACAGGGTTCCATCATGTTTGCCTTGGATCTTCCTCAGAAGAGTAGGAAGTGTCAGGGGATGAGAATGAAGATCCATTATGCAGGGCTTCATTTAATTATTCATTTATAATTATCCTTATTATAAAGCAGGGCTCAGGCCAGGAAATGGGGGCTGAAAGAGAATCAGTCCACATGTAAGTTTCAGACTCTGCACCTCCAATTTCTAACACCCCATCCCTGAATTCTAGGCTGGGCTGCTACTGCCAAATGGAACAAATAGGGTGCCAGATTGCCCAGTTAGACTCCCTGGGAAAAATATCCTCCTTGGGAGTTGAGTCTGGAAGGGGCTGGATGTTGGAAGTTTTATAAGGCAGTGCCAGAGGTAGACAGGGGAATGTTGGCATGCCTATCTTTGAACCCCATTCTAGCTTGTTTCCCTAAATATACTGTTTTTTTGCCTGGGCCATGGTCTTCTTCTTGACCCGTCAGGCAAATCCCACACAACCTCCTGCCAGCTTCCCCATTGACTTTGCTTGTTGGAAGCTGGCAGTGAAGATTGTAAATGGCAATCACATGACCACGTGATGCTGCAACATAATTGTGAGCCAGTCACCAAGTGCCTGAATCACAATCACGTGACCGCGGGGACGCTGTAATGGCAGCTATGAGGACCAGTTGTAAGTCTTCTTGTGCAGCACTGTCATAACTTTGAATGATTGCTGAATGAGGGGTCACTGAACAAGGACTACCTGTACTGGCTTTTAACCAACAAATGGGCTTCGATAATTCTTTGGTGTCTTGGTTGGCCTAATTTTTAGTGATTTGGGGGTTTTATACATCTGACTCTTCTCTCTTAATCCCTATAACTCCATGGAGCAGAACAGGATCACATATTTTTGTTGTTGTTGTTGTGCCTTCAGGTCAGTCTTGACTTCTGGTGACTTCCTGGACAAGTCCCTGCAGTTTTCTTGGCAAGGTTTTTCAGAGGTGGTTTGCCATTGCCTTCTTTCTAGGGCTGAGAGAAAGTGACTGGCCCAAGGTGACCCAGCTGGCTTTGTGCCTAAGGCAGAACTAGAACTCAGACTCTCCCATAGGCTTGGCTTTGGATGCAGTGTGAATCCAGATATTTTGGGTTTATTCAGCAGTCCATGACTTAGAAAGCCAAGATGTATGTAACATACAAACACCATTTTCTAGTATGAAGTGCCAGAAAAATGGAAAAGCTTCACACAGATTATTAATTCTTGCTTGATTAAGACTGAAGCAAGGAAAATTCACATCTGTAAATCAGAGGCATTGCTGTAAAAGGAAATATTCTAGAGTTTTCCTGACTTCTAATGGGATTTAAAGTAAAATACATACTTTGCAACTCTCCCTATGTTACATGGGATATAAAGGTTTTTAAAGAACATATTTAAGAAAGAACTCTCAACTCCTGAAGCCGGCCTTCATTTTTCTTCCACTGAATGAAAAATGAATTGATTTGATTAATTCAAAATTCAGCATAAAGCCAGAATAATTGCTTTTCTTCTTAGCGTATATAATACACAATCATATATAATCTATAATTCCCAGTGTGTCTCGGTATCTTATTTCACTTTGATATGCATAGACATTTCCTTTA